CAAAATACTAGACCACTAAAACACAGCCAAGACAGGTCACTTTGTAAAGACTAAAGGTCAGCTTTATATTATTGGATACAGTAACATGAGTGCACGTGCGCTGCGTCATTGTAACTTCTGTATTGTTAACCAGGCATGACTAAAAGGTCAATATAATAAAAATAATAAATATATATAAATGTATAATGTTATGAGATTTAAGCTATTTGCCAAAACTTTTATGTTTTCATGTTATAATGTGTAGTCATTCTAGAACGAAAAAGGCATAATTTATATTTATTTCCGAATTTATTTAGCATGGTTATGAGATTGGCCAAATTGACCAAACCCATTCGTTACTGAAAATAACAGATAAAATATAGTTTTTTTTTAAAGAAATGTTTGATAACTATCTGGACATTATAAAGATTTTGCATATGAAAAACATTGCTACAAACCTTAAGACTTACTAAAAAAAAATTAGATATTTTGCATATAAAAGCACTATCAAGTTGAAAGCATTGTAATATTTACTGATAATCTGTCAAATTTCGTTAACATACACCTATAAAGTTATACCATGAAAACTATAACAAGCACAAAATGGTTACGAGGTTGTCCCAGGGACTGAGTCCTTGTTGAAAGAGTAAATCAATTAGTATGGTGCTCCTTAAACAATGGCACTTACAAGCAAAGAAAAAGGTTGGCAGCAGGTGCTGCCTGACAGTTTCCTTCCCTCTAGTTAGCAGTTTAACAACAATAAAAAAAAAATAATACTTTTGGTGAGGGGCGCTGCTGGGCATTTGTGTTCCCTCTTTTCAGCTGCTCAAAAGTAGTAACAGTGGTAGATAGCCTTAGTAGCTTTTCTATGACAAATGCAGTATGAGCAAGTTTGGTTGCAATAATTTTACAGTCCTAATTTTGAGTAGTTGATTATTTTATGACACTTGATTTAATCATAATTTCAGTTAATTGGAAACACTGATTTGGACTTATCAACTAAATTGTCCAGCTCTAAATTTAAAAAGATGTAAATAGTTTTATATTTTGACTTGAAAATTTTTTTCTGTTAAATTACACAAGCAGATTGTATCAGTTTGACATATTTTAAATTTATATTTCTCTATTTAAAAATAAATTAAATATTGATATAGTATTTGTCTATAGGTGTCAAATCTTATCTGATGATGGTAAAGAAGCTGTCAAGCTGTTTACATAGTTAATAATACATATTAAGTATGTCAGATCTGATTTAAATGTTTGCACTTTTTTGTATAAAGTTGTATTTATATAACATCCATTCCTGTGTCTTTGAAATTTTCTCTTAATGGTGAAGAAAATGTTACTATACATTTATTAATATTTTCATGTAGCATTGACTGTACACGTTGATTCGTACTTCTGGCAACGATGGGTATGGCCTGAAGGAGAAGTTTTGTGGTATAACATTGTACTAAATAAGAGCTCTGAATGGGGTGTATCCTTTGTTTTGCTCATATATACCTTTATTTTTTTATTTATCAAGCATCACAATATGAACAATTTTTGTTTGTTGTTAAGCTCAGAGCAACAAAATGGGATATCTGTGCTCTGCCCACCATGGGTATTGAAGCCCAAATCTTAGACTCACAGGCTCTCAGACTTACTGCTGAGCCACTAGAGCGTAACATGAAAAAAATACCATTAGAAAATTATTATATTGAATTTCTGTAAGAACTTGATAGAGAAAGTTCGTATAACGACGACCTCGGGAAATAAGGATGAGCATGTGTGTGTGTATCCACAGAGACTTGTGCAAGATCAACTTTTGTAAATTTTCATAATAAGGAATAAATTAGTATCATTTTAAATTTTAGTGTTAAAAAAAAGGACTGCAAGGTTCTCTGTAAGAGGTAATTTGAATGACAGCCATGAAAAATGCTAGACTAGTCTTTAAACATCAGTTGGACTATACCTTTTGAATAAAGTGAACAAGCTTGATTCTGTATTGATATTCTGTAATTAGTTTACATTAAAATAAACTTTCTTGCTATAATTTTAAGAAAAATATAAAATTTGAATCTTTTATTTTCAGTTGTCGTAAACAAAACATTAATTTTTGTCTTTTTGAGTTTATAGTGATTTTTTCTTTTTTAAACATGATTGCTAAATTGTTGCAAATATGGATTTTCATGTATTTGGAATTAACTGCAGTCTTTCTTTTTAATAAATAAATGTTTGTTTGTTTTTGATAACTGTACAGTTTTTATTCAGAAAGTGTACTTTGGAAACATTTAGAAGTATACATAGAAAATCAGTTGTTATCTTTGTTGTCATGGTAGGTATTTTGGTTTAGAACTGGGGTGGTGAAAAATTTAATTTCTCTTTGCATATGAAACAGCAAAGAACCTTGGCTATTTTTCTCCCAAATAATTGTTTAATGAATTCTACCAAATATTCTGTCTAAAATAGCCCATTGCATTACAAAAAAAATGGTTAATTTGCTTTAAATGGTTGTAGGTAATTTGTTATAAAAAAATATCAAAATAATTATGTTGAACATGCCATATTGGTAATAGACAGCTTTAAAATTGGTCTAATATGCTTTAACACAGCAGCTGCAAATATAATGATTTGACCTAATTTGGAATCTGGTAACCTTTTGAGGTAGAGTACTGATACTTGTAGAAAATGTTACCTATAAAATAGATGTTAGTGTGTGGCAGGTTTCAACTTCATACTTTGTGGAAGTCTTGGTTTCCCGAATCTTTGAAGGTCTATTCCTTATGGCTGTCTGGTGGTACAGCATCAGTTTACCATGTAATATGTGGCTGGTATTGCTAGGGGCCAGGGTAGTGTGATGCTCTTCTCATGTTACTTGCTGTTTTATGGTAATTAGGATTCAAGCTGTACTTTATGCAAATAATCAGGACTGGGATACTGTTGATAAGGAGGTTGCACATAACTGAATGATAATAATGTAGATTCATCTGTGTGCTTGAGCAGATCATATGAAGTTATGTTTTGTTTCAAATTGATGCAGTATAACTCATAGGCAACACATTTTGATGTTTTGTCTGCCCTGTGATTCATATGAGCTATCATAATGAAATATCATTTTGATTCTACTTATCACCATATGGGCTTACACATGCTATCTGATTTGTTAATAAACTTAGAATAGCTTCTGAAACTACTTCAGAACTAATTGACACAAAACATTTCTAATTAACATATAGGTCTGCATGTGTTAATGGCTACCATATAGGGAATTACAGAATTCAAACTGTGTTTTAGTGTTCAGGATAAATTTCTTCGGTTGTGGTATTCAATATACAACATCCACTTAAAATTCAATTTTTACCTCTTTTTCGATGATGGGAAAAGTTTAAGTTAATGTATCAATTTAAATTATTTCATTGACTTTAAAAAGGTTAATTGTGTTGTACTCTTGGTTTCATTCAGAGCCAAAGCTCTGAGCTATTTATACTGCTCACCGCAAAAAGTAATTGTTGAGCATTTCAGTCATGCTGAGAGCTGCTCAACAGTAATGTATGGTAAATAAAATTTGTCATCAACATTATTCATGCCTGTTCTCCTGTCATTTCAAAAGTGAATGTTGAGCTTTGCCTGCATCTGCAGCTTTTCAAATGCAGCGTGGGAAGCAGCTGCTGTAAATGGGAGACAGTCGAACATTCTGACAGACACCACGGTTCCCAATATTTACAAGATATATTTTTATAGAAATTTATTATTATTCACTATTAATAGCTGTTGTTATTGTTTAAGGACCATTTATTGTTAAACTGTTTTTAATATACTATTCCTATCATTTTTGCCCCCCAGTGGCACAGCGGTATATATGTGGACTTGTACTGCTAGAAACCGGGTTTCGATACTCGTTTTGTCCTTTGTGTAGCTTTGTGCTTAATAACAAACAACCTATCATTTTCTAATAGCATAGTTATTGTAGATTCAGTTTAGAGTACATTTTTACTCCTTCATTGTTCTAATTTCATTTGATTAATTCCACATATTTACAAGCCAAAACTTATGGACATTGTACATTCAGATTGATGTATTTTGCTGTTAATAGGATTGATATAAAAATTTATTTTTCAACAGATAATATATATATAATTAATGAAAATTGTATCTTAAGAAGATATAATCAGGAATGATTTCAGTCATTGTTACTTATGAAGCAGGTATATTTATTTAGATAACAGATCTATGTATTAATTGAAAAGAGAGTAAAATCTCACTGAGTTGTACATTACAGTTGTATTTTGGTGGAAGGAAATATTTTATATGTAGATAATTGAGTTGCATTAATGCAGTATTTATGAATACTTTTTTTTTATTATCAGTAAAAATCATTTTAACTTGTGTATAAAATTAATTACCGTATTGGCCCGATTATAAAGTGATGGTTTTTTATTAATAATTAGGCTGCAAAATTCATAGTCACCTTATAATCATGGTCGACCACAGGCCCTTTCCCCCTACTATAACCTGCTGCATTCCTGTATGTCCAGATAACATCCATCTACACATGCATGCCAGATGTTCGCTCAAGTCCATCACTAATTTTTGTAACTAATCCATCTGCAGGCTGTTCAGTTATAGTATTGATTTTGTGGACCAAAAAAAGAATGACACTCAATTTTTTCTTTTCCATGGTTTTTGAAAATATTGGTCGCTTTATACTTGAGATTGCCCTATAATCGGGCCAATACAGTATTCCATTAATAATGTAATGAAGAGAAAAGTTTCTATTAATTGTTAAAGGTTTTGTAGTGATATCATTTTGTGGAATATTCCTGAGTATTGAAAGTAATTGTATTGTGTTTAAATATATAAACTTATGTGAAGAACAGAAATGTGAAAAATCAAAATCTTATATAAATGTTCCTTTTGGGCTTAAACTTGCCACTTGAACAATGGATTCCTAATTTGGTCAACATTTGGTAGAAACTTATTTCAGTTGTTGTATTAAATATATATATATATATATATATATGTAATTTATAATATCATGCAATCCTGCAATGGATATAAGATATTATGTTTTAATAGGACCACAAATCCTTGACTTGTTAAAAGACATCTCCCTGGTTGTGGTATTTTTATTCTGCAATTCCCAGAGCCATGAGCTTTTCCTTGTTTCTTCTTCCACTTGGTTTAATGGTTGACAGAAGAATATGGGTTCTGGTTTTCCCAGCTCTAGGCTTCATAACTTGTTATTCTTTCCTGCCTCATAAAGAACTAAGGTTCATCATGTATGTTTTTCCTCTCCTAAATACAGCAGCAGCCAGAGGATGTGCATATTTGTAAGTTTTAGTTTGTTGTGATTGTTAGCATTAGTTAAGTAACTGAAGCAGTTAACATGTGTATACACATGTATAACTATTTCTTAGATTATTTAACATCACTAGTGCATGTTAATACTGTGCTTTTCTAAGATTCAGGTCCAGTGAATGAAAGTTTTTAGCATATACACACACACATAACCTATTTGAATGTTAAACTACTTCATGACTGGAATGTGGCTTGAATTATGTGATCTCCACTACAGTTAAGATTTAAAGACATGGTGTTGAAATCAAAGTAAAAATAAAACACTGTTTTCTGAAAGCCAAACAGGAGAAAGGTTAATCAACTAGTGGCAGACTACTGTATTGTGATGTAGACTAAAATAAAGAAAGGTTAAATAAACTGTATTTAGCAAAGGATAATTTAAAATAAATGATAGTACACATGTTTGAGTGGAAATAACAATGTGCATGATGAGCAAGCTGAGAAACACAGGAAAAGAAGGACATGGCTTCATAGATAAGTCTTGTTAGATCCACACAAACCATGAAAGTCTTTAAAAATCAAGGAATTTCGTGAAATAAAAAGTCTCAGTACTGTAAAGGGGTTTTAATCAGGTGGCCTTGGAAAAGTCCTTGAAGGTATAACCCATATCCCCTGTTTTTATTGACAACAGGCTTTACCATTATGTCTATCTCAGTTTCATGAAAAATGATAGTTAGAAAATGTGACTCGCAAAATTGGAATATGCTGACTTGCTTTGTTCAGTAATGTGTGGCTATTTATAACTTTGTTTCATAGTTGTTGTTTTTTCTCTTTTAAGTTTTCATGACAGATCAGGTGTTAATATTATCACTAGAATGTTTTCTAGCTGTTACTGCATTTTTTGAAAAATATACTAAAACATTAGTTATTAATTTTTGGTGGTGTTCCTCTATTATTAAAATCAGTAAATTAGGTCATGGAAAGTCTTGGAGTTTTTTTATGCATCAGTCTTGGCAAAAAATTATCTTGATTCTCTGTAGACAAAATCAAGTCTCTTTAGAAATGCCAAAACTGCTTGCATGTTATATATTCTCTCTGAAACTGACCAACCAGAAAACTAGATCACAAGAATCTAGAAGTATTTGCTCCATTTAAAAGTCATAAAAAGGTCAACTATTTGCAATGTAGAGCAGAATACAGTATAACCCTCCTTTAAAACAATATACAGCTTCCATGACTGGTCACTGCTATGGAAAGTAACATCTGATGCTGGATTTATCACTGATCTCAACTGGATTTATGATGTTCCAAGTCAGAACTTTAACATTTTGTGCATATCAAAATATCTACTGTAGGAGAGAGAGAGAGATATGTTGTCCTGACTACAGGCATTGTTGGATGAACAAATCTAGTGTGATCTTCTAGAAATGATTAAATTTTATATGTAATAGTAATGAAGAGCACGAATGTTGAGTGTTAGTTTAATTGAATAACATAAGGTATAAACACAAACATTAGCATTTGATTTCACTAATGCGGTTGAATGAATAGACCTCGTGTCAATTTTAAGTTTTATTAATGTGCTTTTTTATTAGCTCTTATAAAATTGAAGTATTCAATATTTTTGTGTGTTTTATCTTAATATTTCACCATTTAGAATTTAAAATATTTCCAAAATGTTTTTGCTTACCTGACTATTGTTTCATTAAAAGCTGAATATATAGATACCAACATGGATACCAGTCTGAGGCTGCCCACCTTTTTATGACAATTCTATAACATGTTACAGTTTTTTAGCAGTAGTAGTATGTTATGCCTATTAATCACTTTTTTAAATTATTGTAATCAATAAATGGAAATTTTATGCATTGGGCTTCCCTCTGACATCTAACTATATTTATGCAATTAAAAAAGGAACCTGAAATTTATAGTAATGTAATAATTTTTCTTTGTTATTTTCATAAATATGTATTTGTACAAATGCCTTCGTAGATGGAACACCCGCCTGAAATCACTGTTTCGAGTGCTGCTAGTTCTCTGTGTTTGCTTCCACTTAGTTTTTAATCTAGTAACTTCTGGACTTCTGCTATATATATCTTATCACAATTATCCTGGAGGATTTGCTCTGGCAAGGTTACATCAGCTAGAGGGAGACAGAACAGGTGAGTGACTGTTAAATTGTGAAGATGAATATCACATTTTCACAAACATTGATCATTCTTTAGGGATATTGTCTACTTTATGTTTAATACAATAATTTCTTCCACTCACTTTGAATACATATATATAATTAAATTAAATGAGTGGTTGATTGTGTTTTTAAGATTTGGCCATTTTTCAGTATATTAATCTGTTCTAGGTAGCCAATGTAAAATTTTTCTTGTAAAATGTACATGTCTGTATTTAAGAAAAAATGTTACTTGCTCTATATGCATTTGTATTTTTTGTCTCGTTTCTGACAGAAAGTAAAACAATTTAACTTAAGAAGCTTTATGATCATGTTTGTTAATAATAAGTTGGCAAACAATGATTTATAAACATAATGAAATGATTCATTTTGTGGGGAACATACTACATATTTTTACAGAACATTGGTCAGTCTTCAAAAATAAATCATTGTTTGCCAACTTAGTATTATAGTAGTATAATGTGCTTCCATACTCAAGTGATAGTGTTTGTTGTTTCATTATATTGTAGATTATAGCTCTTATATCCATTCATGGCAAAAGTGTATTAATATCATGGCTTTTCTTGCCATATGTTAATAAATTTTTAGATGTGAAAAATGTTAAAAACCATTAATTTAACATATTGCAAATATAATGTGTAAAGGATAGTTCTTTATCATTACCAAAACACAATTACTTTTGCAGCAAAATGCATTAAGAGTGGTTATTGTTTCATTTGATCAGATTAAGGAATTTATTTAATTGTACAAATACAGGAGGAGCAAATGCTGAAATGTAAGTTTAAGTTAAACAAGGGTATCATAAAAAAAAAAAGTTAATTTTCAAGGAACATTATTTTCCAAAACTGTTTGAGATAATCTAATGCAATATGACAAGTTTGTAAACATTGTGACTAAAGCTTGATAATGAGGAATCCACCTTTTAGGAAATAAAAGGTTTAAGATGGCTTGACTGGGTAATGAAAAAAAACTTTTATTATGAATGTAGCTTTTTCATTACCCAGTCAAGCTGTCTCAAAACTTTTATTGTGACTAAAGGATCTAATCAAGAACAGTTTTTGCTATAGCATGTTATCATCCAGTAAGGAAAAAAAATTAGGGGCATATTTATGTACCTCTGATTTATATATGTAGCATATAAGTGTACAATAAGAGGGAAAAATGCAAATAATCAAATATTGTTATTACATGCATTCAGGGAGTTCCTGAATTAGGAACTGTGTTTCAAAGTTTTATAGATGAATGTTCCATATTCTGGTGAGGACATTGCATGAAAGTTTATTCATTCATCACTAGAAGATTAGAAAATTAATCAAGTATACATTGATCTAAAACAAAGTTTAATAATAATGTTTATAACCATAGATACATTATTTAATTATTAAATGATCTTTTCTGAGGTTTTAAGGCATCACCAGAATAATTGATTAGCCAAACTGAAAATTTTGTATACATATATTTGGCATTTAAAAAAATATATGATAAAATAAATTCCTTCAATATTGTATTAACGGATTAGCACAAATAAAAAAACTGTTGACTAGGTAGAATGTTCTGTTTGATCTTAAAAATTATTATTTAGAAACATACTATGTCTAACTGAAAATATATCTGAATAAAAACATTTTTATACATAAGAACATTTTTACCAAAGTACATGTAAGTAATAGTATTTTTTCTATCTTTTCACTAATGTTTTTTCTATATGTAATAATTTTTTTATGCATAACCATGCGAGTAAAATGAAATCCAACTTATTTTGAAGGATGTTATTGTTTAACTGCTCTTTACTCAAACTTTTATTACAGATTTTAGTATCAAGGCTCTATGGCCACATGCATAATCAAAGGCTGAATTTCTTGACTTATTAAAGTCAAGTTAGTATCATCACATTTATAACTTTTGACTTAGTTTGTTTCTTGTTTTTTGACAAGTTGTGTCTGCTGGTCAGACAGTCTGATTAGTGACTAGCAGCAAAGGTATCAACTGATCATTTATGGCAGAGTGATAATACAAGGTTCTTTTAGATTGCCTCCTGTTGATCAGTTAAGACTATTTGTTATTAATTGTAAATGTTGTTGTGGAGGTTGAGCAGCTTTTCAGGTAGAAGTTATTAAATAATTCTAAAGTATAAAATAGGTTTATTGTTATTTCATAAAAAATAAGTATTATATTGATGTTGGAGCTGCATTAATTATATCTTTTTAATTGTTATTGCTTAAAGCTGTTTTTTATTTTAAATAAGGGTTGAATAACTTGTATGTTTGTCACATAATGCATAATTCTTATTTTTCTACACAATTACTGACATACATACGCACACATACACACATGCACATATATATATATATATATATATTGTTTCCTTGGATTTGAACCTAAAGCCAATCACATGCCAGGTGAGTGTTCTACCAATTGAGCAAAATTTTGCTAATAAGCATCTTTTTAACAACTCAAACTTCTAAGTTTGTTTGCAAAACATATGCTTTAATTCACAACAAAGGAAAGTAAACAGGTATGTACTAATGGTATATAAAATTTGTCCTTTACTTTTTTTTGTCTAGATGTCTCAGTTCACATAGATGTTTTTACTGCTCAGACTGGTGTGTCTCGATTTGCCCAAGTCAACCCTTTTTGGAAGTAAGTTTAATATCAGTAACCTATCTCTTGTATATTAGTAACTGTAGTTTTTGTTTTATATCATGGACTTCTTTTGTTTCTATACTAATGAAAAGTGTTGTGTGTTCTACTGAATATTTTGCTTTATTATCTAGAAATGAGTTAAATTATTGATTGCTGTCAGGTTTTAATTTTACTAATTTTCAAAATGCATGATTATTTTAGAGTAGGAATAAGGGTGTGGAGCAAGACATGATTTTGAATATGCAGAATAGATAAAGTGAAAGCAGCATCCAAATTTTAAGGAACATTCACTGAAGTTTGATATTGTGTGAATAGCATTGATGCTTTGAACTAACCCTATATCTCTGAAGCTGTACATTAGCAACGTTTTTTCTATAATCCCAATCATTTACAGCTGCATTTAGAGCATGGATGAAGCAATTTATCATAGTGGGGCAGTTTTATGTAAACAAAGGATCAAAGTACTAGCATGCATAGTCAAATTACAGTTATGCTTTCCACATTCCCTGGCAGTGTGCATGTGTTATCATGAGTTACTTTCATAACAATAAAAAAATTTACATAAAAAAACAAGAATCTTGGTACATAAATGTGTGGTCTTATGCTTGAAGTCACAATAAAATTGAACCATACTTTTTTGGTAGACTTGTTGGTTTTTCATAAAGTCATTTTTGTTTATTTCAAATATGCAACTTAGAGCACAAAATATTAACTTGTACAAAAAGTACAATGTCTTAAAACGATTATAATTTAACTGGCTTTCTAACTAAGCTATAAGTAGTTAAGATAATTATGTTAGCTGGTCAAAATGGTCTGGTGATAGCAAACAGTGAATCTTGCACTGAATAATTTAAAAACTGTCCTTCAGAATGAGCTAGCCTTATAGAAAATTCAGTAAATTAAAATCTTCTCTTTCTATTGGTTGTAAATAATCCAATAGCAAATATCAGAGAGAATTTCTGACATCTTTTGAAAGACAGGTTATGGGAGGATGATGTGGCATGTGTATTTGACTTTCTGGTTTATATCTCAATAAAGCAACAAGATTGGAGTCTATAAATTTACATTATGGCTTAGGAATATGTACAGTATAAGTGTGTAATTTGTGTCAGACTTATTAAAATTTTAATTATAAACTATGTTTTGATGCCAAGTTTGTTGACATGTATGTATAATAAAGTTTAATTAAATTTTGAATGTAACATTGCAAGAAGGTTGTAACATGTGCACTTTAAGGGTGAGACTTAATTTGAAAACTTTTCTATAACAGTGTCACTGTGATATTAGATCAGAGTTTTGTGCTGAGGGTAGTTTTTGATATATTCAACATCAGTTGCTTGACTCTACACTGGGCAAATAAAATAATTGTTAAGAAGTAAACCACCATCAATAGTTTTTTTTTAAACTACTATCTACTGTTAATTAAATCACTAATCATAATTTGATGCTTGAAAACTTAGTCATTTGGTACTTAATTTTCAAGGGGTATATAAATACCATAAATTTTACATGTTTTAATTAAGCTTTAAAAAACCTTTCTGTTTATAAGTGTTATTGTAAATAATTACTCATGTAATTGAAATAGGTAAGAATGATTAACAGTTTGTCATGCCTAGAAATTAAAATCTAAAAATGATGCTTTTCAAACTAAAGTTACATATATAAGATGAATGACAGTATCCAAGAATATCAAGGAAATCTAAAATTAAAATATTTTTCTTTAATAGTTCAAAGGTTCAGAAACTAAGCACAACTTCATTTTAACTTTCTATTCCATACTTTACATTTTTTGTCCATCACTTCTTTAAATGCATAAATTAATATTTATGATGTAATGTGCAGGTACACAATATATTTTATACCTTCTTACTTTAATTTAGAAGTTTTCAATATTTTTCATTTATTCTAAATCTGTACAGTTTTTACATAAAACTTGGTCCAGAAAACCATTAGATTGACTTCATTCTTGCTGGTTTTGTTCCTTTGTTGTTCTTTATAGATAAAACTTGTTCTTTCCATGTGATGAATTGCTGATATGCTGCAGTGCCCTTCAATGGTGGGCCAGATGATATCTAGAGGTTACTGCCTCCCTTATGTTAAATAAAAATGACAACTCATGCAGATAGTTAATTGCTTGGGGTAAAACTGACATTTTTGATTAAGTAAGAAGCATTTAATCAGGTACTACACAGGATCTCAAGTGAGTTGGTTGGTGAAAAAACATCTTGGTGGAAGAAAATAAGTTGATTGATTCACGAGTCCAGTGTCTGTTTATTTCTTAACTTAAAATCGTTCAGTTTAGTTAAAGTCAATGTTACTTTGTGATTTATCCTGCTGATTTTCCCATTATAAAACAAACCTACCTAATAATCTTTGCAGAAATCAGCTTAATGTGAGAATTACCAGAATGATACTGATATAGCATGGAAATCAAGGTATCACTGTTTACCACAGTATCTCATTTGTTTTAATTAATAGAACTTCTTTGCAGGCAGAAGTGCGTGTTAACACATGTAACATAATTTAAAAGAAAAAAGTGGTCACTCACTATCATTTTAGTTTCTTTAGAAAATTTTTAACTTTTTCTTTTTCCACCTGACAGTGTTATACAAATTTTGAACATTGTGTATTAAAGTATTATTTTACAACATTCATAATTCTAAGGATTTGCTGTACACCACCTGATGGGGTGCTGCATAATTTTTTTACAATGCCTTTTATACCCCTAGCAATTTTCTTTTCAACTTTGACATATTTTCTTGCTTTATGCCAGCTAATACGGTCCCACAGAATATCAAGTGTAAATACCACCTGACTTAGTTCCATGGCTTTACTTTATTTCCATGTCATATATCCAAATATGAAACAAATCTACCTGTTGACCTTGCTTACATCATAAAAAAATGTACTTTTATTATCCATAAAAATTTAACTAAATAATTGATTAATATAAAAAACTTTTCAAAAAAAGTTAAGTTAAAAGATAGACAAAGGCAAGTGGTAATAAAAATGTTATAATTGAGAGTAATTCTTGTGACCTTGCAAGTATCTCTAGAAAGAATTAAATCCATTTAATGTATTATGGAACATGTATCAAGAATAAAACAAAGCTACATGCATGAAAACACTTCTGCTCAAATATGTTTTTTTCTTTTTTTACATTTGATGCCTCTATTTTAAACCATTCTCAGTTTGTATTGCCTAGGTGTTTTTATATGGCATGAAGTACTGTATGGAAATATTAAACTGTTAAAACCTGGTTGGAACACTACAACTGTAGATTTGCCATTATGATAAATGATAGGGAAATCCCCCCCCCCCTTTCCCCACTTCTTTTCTGAGTAGTGCAATTAAACTCCTCTTCTTTTTTTTTCAAAATAATACTCTAAAAAAAATCAAAATTTAAAATATAATCACAACTAATATAAACTTTTCATATACCTCAAGTGATAAAATATGCTAAAATGACTTTTATGATAATCTTATTTGCATATTCAAAAATAATTTTTACAATAATAACACCCTCTCCAAGCAAAACATAAACATTTGTCTTTTTGTCTCTGTTGACCCCTTGACCTGAAATTGGTGTAAATATTTTTTTTTATTTATGTATTTCAATGAGTTACTTCATGAATATGAATTCCGATAGTGACTTTTGGTTACTGATCTTGCCATTCTTCCATTAAAACTCATT